GAAGTTCTCAAAAGTTTTCTTTTGGGCGAAGGAGAAGGAAAGAACTAGAAAAGAGTCTCTAGTCTCCAGGAAGCTAAGCTTAGTCATTTTAGAAGCATGAATTCACCCTCTTCTGTGTAGTTCTGTCGATGCGGAGTACTTTGTAAACCTCTAGTGGTGGTGGTTTGCTTGTCCAGTGCCACACGAGGCTGAAATCCTGTAATGGGCTTGGAAAATGGTCTTTCTGTAGTGCCATGGTTTGCACCCGGATCTCTTACATGCTTTTTAGTAAATGTAAGTAATAAAACTTATCTGGAATGGAAGCAGCCTGTCGGTGGTTGCCATTTGTAAATGAGGCTCTGTGAGTGTTAGAAATACCTGGTCCGTGGGAACCAGCAGTTAGCGTAATGGCTATGTCGCTGGATTCCCACGTAGTTGACTGTGGTTCACGTCCTGGACCCAGTGGCTTAAATCTCACGCCAGGCGCCCAGGAGGAGAATGGAGGAGAAGGGATTGCGGCGTGACCATCCCCCCTGGGGGTGATTTCTCGCTTTCTGTCTCTATGTCTTTGTCTGGCGAGCACACGCGCCCTATAGCGAAAAACCTCTCCCCCCCAAAAAAAAAGACCTGGTCCAGCGGACTGCCTGACCCCAGATGGCAGGAGACCCCACGGTTCCCCGGTCCCTAGAGCTGGCCGGTGGTGCTAAAGCGGCCTGCCTTCTCTTTGGCAGGTGGTGTGTGATGAGAACGGCTCTAAAGGTTATGCCTTTGTCCACTTCGAGACCCAAGAGGCTGCCGACAAGGCCATCGAGAAGATGAATGGCATGCTCCTCAATGACCGCAAAGTGTGAGTGTCCCAGTCCGGAGCGACAGCCATCGCATGAGCCAGCTGTGGCCCCACCTCGGTATTAACTGGCACACACAAGGCGGCTACTGGTTCTCTCGGCCCAAGTGTGGCCTGCTCCTACCTCTCCACTCCAGGGCTGGTGAGTCTCCCTGCCTGAGCCGTGGCAGCCCTTTTGACTCGCCAAGGTGGGCTTCCTGCCCAAGCCATGGCCTGCCTGCCTCTCCCGTAAAGGCATCCATCTGTGGGTTTTGTGGGCATCGGCAATAGGGCTGGCTGGAGGGCAGCGCTACGCTCACTCGCCCGCTCTGAGTGGGGTCTTGGCCAGTGGCAGAGTGGAGAGGGCCTTGGACTGACCAGGAGCTGTGCACTATACTAGCTATGTGACCTTGGCCTTCCTGTGACTCAGGTCTGTCCATGGGTCTCTCGCTAGTGGTTGATGCCAAATTGTCCCTCTAGTTCTCCATTTTCTGACTTAAAACTCAGTGACCTAATACGAGGCTGGCTCCACGGTAATGACTTGGTTACAGTGAAAAACCCAATCCTTTTGCAGAGACGCTTCATAATAGACCTTGTTGCTTTCATGTGGTTGGAGAGAGGGGGACTTAGTAAAGCTAGATTTAGAGAAGAGACACCAGGTCTTGGCTGTTAGAAGCAAAAATCTTTTCTGTTGTGAACACCCAGAGGGTGGGTTGTATCTGTGTTCAGTGGGCAGCCGTTCTACAGGTATCACTAGAGAGGAAAACGTTCAGTGTGGGGGCTTTTCTCTCTTAAGCATGACAAAATGAGTAAAGTAAAAATGCAGAGGGTGCCTCTTCACTCCAGCAGTCTCACTCTCCTAGGATGAACCAGTGTTAACAGTTTGGTTTGTATCCTTCCAGACCTTTTCTATGCATTTACGTAGATGCACAGAAATGAACGTTTTTAAAACGTCATCAGGTTTCTTCACGAAGGCAGTGTGATGTGGTAGGAGGGCCTGGTCTGAGCCGGGAGCCCTGGGTCTGGTTCCCGCAGGATAGTCCTGCCTCTTTCTCTTTCTGCCGGGGACTTGGGGTGTCTCTGAGCTTACTCTTGGTGGTGGAGGGTACCTCGTATTTTAATCTCTCCTGTCAACCTTTAATCTGCATTCCTCTGGGCCTGCAGAAATAAGTTGTGTTCCTCTGGATGATCACTGTTTTCCATGGTTTCTTTTTAGATTTGTGGGTCGATTCAAGTCTCGAAAAGAGCGGGAAGCTGAGCTTGGAGCCAAAGCCAAGGAATTCACCAATGTTTATATAAAAAACTTTGGGGAAGAGGTGGATGATGAGAGTCTGAAAGAGCTGTTCAGCCAGTTTGGTAAGTCGGGGGTCCATTGCCCCACCTGACCCTGTCCACAGGGCACACAGACCCAGAAGTAAAACATCTTGCGGGACAAAGGTCACAGGGTAGGTAGGGATAGACGCTAGGCCTCAGCTCTTGGCTTCCTCCTCTCCTACTCTGAAGGCTTGGTCAGAGTTAGAGACCAGGCATGGTGCCTCTTTCTGTCTTAGAGTCCATCCGGGTTTAGCCAGAGATTTGCTTCAAGTGGGTTCCTAGAGAGAAGCCTTCTTTCCTTGAGCTGTGGTAGAAATGGCATTACTAATAGTTCTGTCCTTCGGCAATAGGTAAGACCCTAAGTGTCAAGGTGATGAGAGATCCCACTGGGAAATCCAAAGGCTTTGGCTTTGTGAGTTACGAAAAGCACGAGGATGCCAATAAGGTGAGAGTACCGCAAGGGTCGGGAAGAAACCTATAGGAGGCGGCCCCAGAGGATGGGCAGGGCCTCGCCACCACACGGCAGAGCAGAGCTGGGGTGGCCTAAGTATCTTTTTGTGGACATGCAGTCCCAGCACTCGGAATCCTCTTCCTGAGGTGGATCCACATGACACTATATCATTTAACTGTTTTCAAAGCACTTGGCACTTACCTGCCACCTCAGCTGTCACTTGTTGAGAGGATAGGACAGATGTTTGGTCTCAATGATAGATGAGGAAAAGCAGAGTTGCTGGTTTGGTACCAGCACAGTACCGTAGGTAGTCAGGGTTGGTGCTGGGCCCTCGTCGAGCACTTGAATACCTTCAAGAGAACCTAGAAGGGCTGGCAGGTGGTGTGGCTCAGGTGGCTGGGTCCCCCATGGCCTGCTGTGCTGTTCAGTTCTCAGATCTGGCAGCTTGAAAAATACGCCAGGTGCATTATGTGTGCGTGCCCAAAATCCCCAGAGGAGAATGGAGAAGAGACTGTGGTATGGCCATCCCCCCTGCTGGGTGACTCTCACACCTCCTCCAGCCCCCATCTCTAGCAAGCGCATGTACTGTACCCTATAGCAATTTAAAATATGAAACCCTGAAAAATGTAGACACAGCCAGATTAACAGCCTAGGCTCACGTCACTGTGCTCATATTTATACAGCTGTACTGTTTCCTCTGGATTACTTGGGCTGATAACCATTTAAACATTAACCCCACTCGATATATGAGGAAGTTTGGTGAAATTGGTTTTTAGCACTGTAGGAAAGATTTTCTCAGAATATTTGGTGGACTTTATAGACCCTAAAGACACATGTGTCCTCTCTAGGCTGTGGAGGAGATGAATGGAAAAGAAATCAGTGGAAAAGTCAATGGAGAAGAGACTGTGGTATGGCCATCCCCCCTGCTGGGTGACTCTCACACCTCCTCCAGCCCCCATCTCTAGCAAGCGCATGTACTGTACCCTATAGCAATTTAAAATATGAAACCCTGAAAAATGTAGACACAGCCAGATTAACAGCCTAGGCTCACGTCACTGTGCTCATATTTATACAGCTGTACTGTTTCCTCTGGATTACTTGGGCTGATAACCATTTAAACATTAACCCCACTCGATATATGAGGAAGTTTGGTGAAATTGGTTTTTAGCACTGTAGGAAAGATTTTCTCAGAATATTTGGTGGACTTTATAGACCCTAAAGACACATGTGTCCTCTCTAGGCTGTGGAGGAGATGAATGGAAAAGAAATCAGTGGAAAAGTCATATTTGTAGGCCGTGCACAGAAGAAAGTGGAACGGCAGGCGGAGTTAAAGCGGAAGTTTGAGCAGCTGAAACAGGAGAGAATTAGTCGCTATCAGGTGAGGGGGTGTGGGCCTGGCCTCCCAGCTGGGGTGTGCTCTGAAATATCTTCAGAGCACCCTTGTATGTAGGGCAACCTAGCGTCTGCTTTTTTTTATTTCTCCCAAGATGAGGTTCAAAGGACACGTGCTCACCAGGATTGACAAGGACAAAAGGGACTACCCTGTGTGTTCAGGGACTCTGTTCTGGAAGCAGGTGCTTTTTACTTAAATGTGACCACCTCGCTGGGAATGGTGGAGAGATGCACCCTGCTGGTGGATGGTCGGCCAGAGCACCTCTGAGTAGACAGCAGCACGTGACTGCATCAGAGTCACCTACAGAGCTTGCAGATCGCTGACGGGGGGCGGTCCCACGAGGTCACTTAGCGATTGGAGTCCTAGACCCATACCTTCATGCCCCAGATCCGAACAGGAGAGAGAAGGAGAAGGGGTTGTGGCGTGACCGCTCTCCATAGCTCCATAGGGGCGCCTTTTCCCCTTCTCACTGTGCCTCTGCCTCTGTCTCTGGAGAGAACGTGTACCCTCTGTCGAAATTTTAAAAAAGACCGTTGGGCCCCAACCCCATGGTTCCCAGTTTATTGGGTTTGGCCCGGGAATTTTCATTCCTGATAAGTTCGGAAGGATCCTGGTGCTGTTGCTCTGGGAACCATTGGCTCAGGGAGTGTCTGGTGTATACGTGCAGTTACAGTGAGCCTTCTCTTCCAGGGGGTGAATCTCTACATTAAGAACTTGGATGACACCATTGATGACGAGAAATTGAGGAAAGAGTTTTCTCCTTTCGGATCAATCACCAGTGCCAAGGTATTTTAATACTGAGATTTTTGTGCTCAGCGGTGATAGTATTTTACCAGGGCTCATTAACGTTTATTTCATTGAAGGAATAAAATCTAGATTGTGTTCATTTCTGAGCTAGGTACTCTCTTCTAGCAAATTTCTCCTTGCCTTCAGTTACCCAGCTGAGTGTCTTCTCTGGAGAGTGACGTTTCATTAGGTCGATGTTACGCTGTCTCCCAAGCACTGGGACCTGGAGGAGAGCCTGAGCCCATCCCTCCAGAGCACCGGAATCTTTCCCGCTCCTTGCTGCCTCGTGCTGGTGTGGGGACAGGTGGTGCCACAGTGTGAGCAGAGGATATCCAGACGGGCCGTCCATTTGCCTTGGGGCCTGTCCCTACAACTCTGCCACATTTTCTCTCTTGGAGCTGGGTTCGCGAACTTCTACCCTGCTCCAAGAGTAGGAAGTTCGTTTTCCCATATTTTGCACTCTGTATTACTTTGTTCATTTTCTGTGATTATCATGTCAACCGAGTTAGCAGGGTGAGGAAGTATAAACCTCATTTTGAAGATTAGGGATTTGAGTGCTTGGCATGCTGGCGAAACCAGATGGTGTAGTGGTTACATTGCTTGACTCTCAATATAGTCGACTACAGTTCCAGGCCCGGACCTGGTAGCAAAACTCAAGCCGGGTACAAGTGTGTATGTGCCGAAGATCCCCAGAGGGGATTGGAGAAGGGAATGTGGCGGGGCTTTTCTCCCTGGGGGCTGGTTTCTTGCTCTCTGTCTCTTGGTTGAGCACACACACTCTGTAGCAAAAATCTCTTAAAAAAAAAAAAATGCTGCCTACAGGGGAATAGTAGTATATTGTGTGTTCTCAGCACTTCGAAGTGTGACAGCGGCTGATGGCATCCGAAAGTTTGGGGTCACTGATAAAAAACTGATGGGGACACCAGGGACAGCATTGCTGCAGCAGGTGCTGCAGAGTTCCGTAGGAGAGGAAGGAAGCTGAGCGGGTTAGTAAAGGCGAAGTGGCCCGGCCCCAGCTCTCACAGCTGGGAAATGTGCAGACACGTGAACAGAGGCCTGCTCTTTGTGGGGTCTGTCCAGTTCCTTGCTGCTCCCTCTGCCGCCACCCCCTTGATAGGCCCCCATCAGTGCAAGGTATGATCCTTGCTTATCTGGACAGGAGCCACGTTGACCTGTAAGAAGAGAGCAAAGGAACCTACCTTGCAGGTCACAGGCACCTTTTTTGCTTGTTTGTTTCTTTAAGGGAGATTTTTGCTATAGGGCTCATGTGCTCACCAGCAAGGCAGAGAGACAGAAAGTGAGAAATCACTGCCTTGGGGAGATGGCCATGTTGCAGTCCCTTCTCCATTCTCCTCTCGAGATTTTGAGCACGCACTTGGACCCAACGTGAGGTTTTTTTGTTTGTTTTTTGTTTTTTTTAAGAGAGGTTTTTGCTATAGGGCACATGTGCTCGCCAGAAAGAGAGACAGAGACAGAAAGCGAGAAATCACCTGGGGGGGGGGCGGTGATGGCCATGTCACAGTCCCTTCTCCACTCTCCTCTCGGGATTTTCAGCACACACGCCCGGCATGAATTTAAGCCACTGGGTCTGGGACAAACCACATTCAACTACATGGGAGTCCAGGGACATAGCCATTACGCCAGCTGCTGGTCTAGCACCCAGTGTGAGTTTTAAGCCACCCGGTCTGGGACTCGAACTGCTGTTGAATACATAGGAGTTTAACAATGTAATCCTTGTGCCATCTGCTGATCCTTACTGGCACTTTTTTTTTTTTTTAAGAATTGTTATATTTAACTTTATCTATTTTAATTTGGCCAAAGAGGAAGAGAGAGAGAGAGAGAAAGCATGCTGCTGGGTCTGGGACTCAAACTGGGGTCAGCCATGCGGGAGTCCAGTGCCTTAACCACCACACCACCTGTTGGCCCCCGGCACCATTTTTAAGATCATGGTTTGGCACTGTTCTCACTCCTTACTGACCCACCTTGGTGGTGGAGAGTCGTTGGGTGAGTCACAGCCTTAGATCCATTTCCTGCCCTGCAGGGGGGCTCCAGGCCATTAACTGAGTCACAGAACATGCCCAGCACATTCGTGTTGCTGCTGGCATCTCAGGTTCTCGGGGAGATACCCTTTACAGCGAGGGAGAAGCTATTGGTGAACAGCTAACTTCATAGTGGAAAAAGACTACCAAGCCAGTAGACCTATGACTTTGTTACTGTTTGCCTTAGAGAATATCAAGGAAATTGAGACTTGGCAAATCAGACTAGACTCTAGGCTGCCTGTCTCCCCACTAGTTGTCTATTCCCTAGGAACCGGTGTGGCACCCATTGGTGACCTGGCTGTGGCAGAACGCCTTCTGACAGAGTTTTGTAGAAGTGTAATCTTAGTCCTACTAAGATCTTCTGAAAATGTTGTCCACCAGAGTTTTGGAGCAGCTAAGTACTGAGTGCGGAAGAGAAGTTGTGGGTACCCAGGGGTAGCTAGGCTCCTGCATAGCAGGAAGCATTTTGGGGTTCCTGTTGTGTTAGCCATATCTTAACGTTTGGGAACTTTTACCTGAGGACTTGGGAAAAACGCCTGCATACTGTATAGGTTGTGATTAACTGGTCCCTGGGGTATTTTAGGGGATTGAACCCTCAGCCTTGACTTGGTAACTGCAGCCGAACCTGGGTTTTCTGGCTGTTCTGAATCCCTCCTACCCTGACACATGCAGATACACACAGGAACCATCCTAAGTAGCTCTTCTCCTTTTGTAGGTCATGCTGGAGGATGGGAGAAGCAAAGGGTTTGGCTTTGTCTGCTTCTCATCTCCTGAAGAGGCGACCAAAGCAGTGACTGAGATGAATGGACGCATCGTGGGCTCCAAGCCGCTGTACGTCGCCCTTGCCCAGAGGAAGGAGGAGAGGAAGGCCCACCTGACTAATCAGTATATGCAGCGGGTGGCAGGGATGAGAGCGCTCCCTGCCAATGCCATCCTTAACCAGTTCCAGCCTGCAGCTGGCGGTTACTTCGTGCCAGCCGTCCCACAGGTAGGTCTGCTGTGTTGGCCGTAGCTCTTTGGTTCCTGTGTTCTGCCTTGGTTGGGGAGAGGCGTTTGGGTGTATTGGAGTTCCAGGATGTCGGGTAAAAGTGAGGAAGGACTTGGTCGTGGTCACGCACACGTACACACAGAGATGGAGGAAGCGTAGGGTGGTCACCAGGAAGGGACCGCTCAGTATTCGAGTGCAGAGTCTTCATTCCACGGAGCTAGCCTAGGGCCTGGTAGTGAATGTGATGAGCTGCTTTTCTGATGGGTGCAGGTCCTCGAAAGGGCTTGGGTGCTCTTTCTTACAGGCTCAGGGGAGACCTCCGTATTACACACCTAACCAGTTAGCACAGATGAGGCCTAATCCACGCTGGCAGCAAGGCGGGAGACCTCAAGGTAGGTGGTGGGGTCATTTGGTCATCCAGGTTGTACCCGTCCTGTCTTCCGTGTCGTAGCCGGGGCCCTGGTCCGCGTCGCTTGTCAGTGACGAGCAGTGTTTGTCTCCACCAGGCTTCCAAGGAATGCCAAGTGCTATACGCCAATCTGGGCCTCGTCCAACTCTTCGCCATCTGGCTCCAACTGGTAATGCTCCGGCCTCTCGTGGCCTCCCTACTACCACTCAGAGAGTCGGTGAGCAAACTGGCCTTTAGAAGCGTGGCCCGGGGAGGAGGGAGTCAGGATGACTAGGCTCTGCCCTGGGTTGGTCAGTTTGTCGGGCTCGAGGTTCTCGAGTCCTGGTTCTGTGATCTCAGTCGTGCACGGAGGCAGGTGCGTCAGGAGCAGAGCAGCGCTGTGAGGTCCGGGATGTTGGTCTGTGCTCATCGGTGACTCGTGTGGAGGAGGCTCACTGTAGACGCTGGCTAGTGGACGACTCAGGCAGCCTGTTCTTCTGAGGGGAGGGGGTGTGAGGAAGCTTTTTACAGAGTATGTCCCGTGTTCCGAGTTGTGGAGTCGTATGTTACCCTTTGACTCGTCCTCCAAAGTAGCAGTAGTGGTCCCATGTGTGATGTGTCATGTGAACGTGCTTTTGGAGATTCTCCTTCCGTGGGACGTGGCCAGATGGACATCTGTCGCCGACACTGATGTGCGTTTGCTGGTCTGTTGTAGGGTCTGAGTGCCCGGACCGCTTGGCTATGGACTTTGGTGGGGCTGGTGCCGCCCAGCAAGGGCTGACTGACAGCTGCCAGTCTGGAGGTGGTATTGGATGCACACAGAAGGGGGAAAGATGGGATTTGACGGGTCTTTGGCCAGACTGATGGGCTTTAATTGTGTGTGTTCGTTTCCCCAAGGCGTCCCCACAGCCGTGCAGAACTTAGCACCTCGCGCTGCTGTTGCCGCTCCCGCTCCCCGGGCTGTGGCCCCGTACAAATACGCCTCCAGCGTCCGCAGCCCTCATCCTGCCATACAGCCTCTGCAGGTGAGGCCCCGCTGCTGCCCCGGGGATTCCCCATTTGCACTCGGTTTAAACCCTTCAACAGGTGTTAAGTGCCCACTCCGTGTTGGGCGCTGTGTTCTGTGACTCGGATACTCTCCTTGCCCTTTGGGTGGGGGCCAGGGCTTGGATATGTCCTCCTATAGCCTCACTTGGAACTGCCCAGAGGGTCCAGCTGGTGCTTCCTGCTCTCCTCTGTGACGAGTGTGCTCAGCTCTCAGCCTCCAGGCCGCTTTCCCATCTAGCAGCCGTGGGCATCCCTGACTGTGCTGCAGGATGATTGGACACTAAGGCAGGAAGTAACCTCATCTTTCAGATGAGGAACTTACTTTCAGAGGCGCTGAGTAGGTGGGGACGTGGGAGGGGTTGAACTCGGAGTCTGGGTTTTCTGAGCTGCAACTTGAGCGTGCCCCTAAAGGCCAGCCAAGGTACAGCCATTCCATGTCAGAGCTCAGTAGCAGTTTGTTGCAGAGGTGCCCACTCATCCTCAGACCCGGTGTTGCCCTTCCACCATCCTGCCCCATGTTCACTAAGTTGGAATTTTCTCAGAATTCGAGGCTACAGAAGATATCTTTTACCTGCAAGGATCTACTTTTAGGCTGTCACTGTCATTGACATGGCACGTTGATAGTCTTCAAGCATTTGTCACTGATACAGTGGGAGCACTGTACAGGAAGTGACGTGGGCGGAAATTATAAATGCTTTGGTATTCGCTCTGACCCATCTGTAATGGACTTCACTCAAGGAAAGCCATAATTTTCAGGAGAGGCTATACTTGAAAATGTGGGTAACATGACTTCAAATTCTTGGGTAATGGGTGAATCACATGTGCTGTCAGAACTGCTCAGCCTTGTAGACTGGTCTTATTGTGCATTTCACACTCCCTTCTAATTACAGGCGTTTTCATAGTAATTGGACAATATCTTTACGT